CCCCCCCCCCCCCACTGAAATCTTCCAGGGCTGTTTGTGTGTCACTATATCATTTTTTTTTCTTTTAACTTTGTTTTCAAGCAGATTTTCTTTTAAAAGATACAGGTGAGAATAGCCAAGGTAAATATATTTTTAGACATCCATTCTTCCAAGGAATTGAATGAAATATTTGTGTTCTAAACTGTAAATGGGAGCATTCCCAGTTTGTGAAGCATGGAAGAATGGAGATTGCCTTTTCTTCCTGAGCCCTGCTACCTAGAAAGAGTTTAATTTAGAGTCTGCATTTGCAGGGGGGTGGGGTTCCCCAGTGGTCTTAGCTCAGACTTAACTGAAGAGAATGCATCTGTAATATCTTATTTATAGGGTGTATAACTTACGAAACAGATCATAAATCTCTGCCAAGTCATTTGTAGTTTTATCGTATCCAAAGTTTCTTGGAAGTCTGAAATGAGTTTTAATTGTCATTTTCCTGAACAGGATGTTTGGATCAGGCAGAGAACATAACTTCACACGTCCTAATGAAAAGGGAGAGTATGAAGTAGCTGAAGGAATTGGCTCCACTGTGTTTCGTGCTATTCTGGTAAGCTTTTATTTCAGATAGCAGGGATGATGTGTGAATGACTTCACCTCCTGTTGGTTTAGATTTCTTGATCCCCAAGATTAGAAAAGTTGAACACTTGAGATGGGGGGGGGGAGGAAAAAGTTTACGCAGATATATAATACAAATTGGACAGCTTTCAGTGGTAATATTTTTCTCTGTGCTTGTTGTGCGTCACTTTGCCTCAAGCATAAGATTTTCAAAATATTAACTTTGTCAGAGGCTACCCCCCCTCATTTTAAATACAGTTCTTCTATCTGTAGGCATTGGGGTTTAGTGCAATCTCAAAAATCAAAGAACCTGGAAGATTTTTAAACCTCCATTTTGGGGGGGCGGGGAATTATTCAAAATACCATCTGGCTGTCTTATCAGCTCTCATTCTTGTTTCTTTTGCAGCACAGTACACTTGTTAACACAACTTATTGTAAAAAAATTTTTCCAGGTGGCCTATGTCCTGGCAGAAAATAGCAGAATTCACTCTTTAAAGGGAACTAGGCCACTCTAACTATTGCAGTGTGGCTCATCTGCTGTTCTGCCTTGTTGGCTGAGCTGTGTTGCAGCAGAAACTGAATGATGTTTAAATAATAAACAGTATAAATGTAATTTATACTTAAACGGTAAGCACTAATAATAAAAGCCTAATATGTCTAAAACTTGAAATACTTAATCTAATTACGTTTTTACTGTGAAAGCTTGGTAAATCTGAGGATAAATGTGTTTTAATGTCTAATCATGTAGTTCAATCTCTCCTCTTTGGAAGGGGAGGGAGAGGGAATATAAAGTTTATTGATATGAAAGGGTCCTGTAATAAGGAATTAATTGTTTTTTATTAGTAGTTGTTTTGGTTCAATAATTTATATATAAATACATTTTTGTTTATAAGGATTACTACAAAACTGGGGTAATACGTTGTCCTGATGGAATATCTATTCCCGAACTAAGAGAAGCATGCGACTACCTTTGTATCTCCTTTGAATACAGTACTATCAAATGTAGAGATCTCAGTAAGTATGGATTCTTTGAAAACAGAATGGTAGTGAACAGATGTTAACATAAATCTAGGGTTTTTTTAAGTTTCTGATATTACTACTAGGATATAATCTGGAATGTATAAACTGTTGTGGGAATAAGATCTTTTCTTCCCATCTCCCCATGTACCAGAGTAGCTCATCTTTTCAATCAAGAGTCATTAAAAAATTAATCCCTTCCTTGTTCACTATTTCCCTGTGTAAAATTGAGAAATGGTAGCAGCTGGTTGACAGCAGAAATCTTTCTGGGAACAAAGTCAAGAAGTGGTGTATACATAAAGCTCTCCTCATTTGTTACTTAATTAGAAATTGAGAGAGAAGCTATAATGATAACAGAAGCAGTCTTGCTTTTGCGGGCACAGCTGTATTTGTCATAAATTGCACGTTATTGCATCTTGACTTAAGCATGTCAGCAGAATTATTTCCAGAACTCCTAAACTTATTACTGGAATAAAATTCAAAATAATGTCCCACGTAAAGGGCCGGTGCTCACAAGTGTGAACTCTGTAGAAAGGGTGTATACAGCCACCCATGATACTGCTCTATGGGTTTCTTGATGGTGTAACATCTGAGGTTTAGGATACTTTCTTTTGAACTTTAGCTTGTGTAATTGAGATTTGCTGTCTGTACTCATTGGTTCAAATACTTTTATAAATAATTACAGTACTGATTTTTCAAGATCAGGTTTATCCCCATACAACACTAAAATAATCAAATTATTGTATATGACAGGGATAGCAAACTGCAAGACAGTCCTCCTAACACAGACTTTTGACACACTTCCTTGGTAGTCAGTAAACTGGAAGGTGGTTCTGATTTTGCTCATAATAAAGCACCAAACACAATGTCTTACCTGACACATGCTGATTTTTTTTTTTTCTGTTCAGTTTTTTTAATTCCAGCCAAACCTTCTTTATTTAGCAAGCTTCCAAATTATAATATCTCCTTGGGGTTTGATTTTTTTTTTTTTTTTTTTTTTTTTTTTTTTTAGGTGCTCTTATGCATGAATTATCGAATGATGGGGCTCGCAAACAGTTTGAGTTTTACTTGGAAGAAATGATTCTCCCACTAATGGTAGCCAGTGCCCAGAGTGGTGAGAGAGAGTGTCACATTGTGGTGCTTACAGATGATGATGTGGTAGACTGGGATGAAGAGTATCCTCCACAGATGGGAGAAGAATATTCACAAAGTAAGTCTGGCTTTATGCTTAGCACTGAATTTAACTATAAGGGCCTCTACCAAAGTACTGTCACGTGTCCTTTAATGCTGCATCAGTATTAAGCACAAGCACTGTTACCAGAGCTTCACAACATATCTAATTCTGGTAGTGGACATGTAATTTGGGGTTAATGTTAAACAAATGTAATACTGTTAAGTTCCAATCCATTCAAAGCAAAGTGTTTACCAAAAGGGCACCAGAAAGTAAGGGATGTGTACCTTAAAATAGAGAGTCCGAGTCAATTGGCAAACGGTTGTTATTGACCATTTTGTGTAAAACACAGATGTAAATTAGAAAACAAATAGATCATATACCTGGTGTTGTCTTCATTGTGGGTTTTTGTTTGGTTTCTTTTTAACAGTTTGGTGCTTAGATAAATTGGCCATTGTTAATGAAGTGCTCTTCTGTTCATGCATGATAGCTTTAGGCATTTTATGTTCAAATATGTGGCTATGAATTAATTTTATTTATGCTCCAATAAAATAAAAGGCATCTTTATAAAAGGTTCCTGTTTTACTTTGGCAAGTGCTGACATTTTAGATTAGGGTTTTTTTTGTTTGTTTTTAAAGCTTTACCAAAACTGTCGTGGTGAATTGTAATAATAAACTTCAGCCTCCCAAAATATTTAAGTGGGGAAGAAGGGGAGTAAAAAATAGCTTGGATGTCAGTATCACCACTTTGGCAGGGTAACACAGGAAGGCTGAGGCTTGCTTTCCAGGAATCTTAAAGGGGTGAAAACCGTTTATAACTTACAGCACACTTAACATGGGACTTTTACATGGCTGCTTTAGGAGCTTTTTTGTGAATCTCCTAGATGTAATGTATACCATCTGAAAAAGGAAGAGGTCAGGGGCAGCAAATCTGTATTTAGCCTCCTTTCAAAACTTGCTACTTTTAATCTGTTTGCCAGTGGGTTGGCAAGAATTTTTAATATGGGCAGACAGCAGTGCCTATAATATTCAGAAGCACACTTAGAGCTTTGTTTTTGGGGCTTTCCTGTTTGCTCTGCAGTCTGTCATATTTCCATTCTTACTTCTTTCGAAAGCGTAAGTGACACACCAGTAGGAGAAAATGTCCAGCCCACCAGAGTTAACTGTTTGCAGAAACACTACTTTTATCCTCAGATTTCAGTCTTCTACAATATGTACTCCGAGACCTTTTGAATGAATCTTCCTCAAATAAGTGACATTGAAGAGGCCAAAGGATGAAAAAGAACTCATGCTTCAGTCTTGGGTTTGCTTTCCTGCTAACTATACTGGGAACTTAGCAGCTTGAGGCTCAGTTTTTAGCTTTTGCTTTAACCTTAAGAAGATAAGCACAGGTTACAAATTTGCAGTACAATTTTATCACTGAAATGTGGATTTTTTTTTGTTTTTAAGTAATTTACAGCACAAAGTTATACAGGTTCTTCAAGTACATTGAAAACAGAGATGTGGCCAAATCTGTTCTGAAGGAAAGAGGTCTCAAGAAGATTCGACTGGGTATTGAAGGTAAGTAGCAATTTAAATGATTCTTATTTTAAAAGGGCATTTCTATATTGATTTGTTTCTGCAGAATGTTTCTCTTATAACTCCGTTATCAGCCACCCATTGTGCTAGATTAATCTGAGGCATAAGAGGATCTAAAAGTTGGAATACCTCATGGCGTGGATTTATTCTGCAATATTGCAGCCTGGTTTGTAGGAGGCTGTGGAGTGGAACCTCAGCCACTAGTGGTAGAAACTAACTTAGTCATTCCTTGCTTATATCCAACTTCTAGTTTGTCATCTTGCTGCAGTGCTTTCTTTGACCTAGTATCAGTGTGGCTGGTTCTGCATGCCGGGCATTGGATTGAAAATATTCATACGAATTAAGACAGATTGCTTATACCAGGGGTGGCCAAACTGTGGTATCAGTGCTGCAAGTGGCATAGGCAGCCTCTGTGTGGCATGCGGCAGATGAGGGAGGGGACAAGCAGCACAGCAATAGATGAGGCAGAAAGCAGGGATGGCTCAGGGAGCAGAAAGAAAAGCAGAGGATTAGGCAAAGGAAGGGAAGCAGAGTGGCACTTAAAGAGGGTGCAGGGTTAATTTGTGACACCTGCCAGAAAGGTTGTCTCCCTCCCCCCCCCAGCTTGGGTAATTAATGATGGGTTGTTTGTGGCAGCAGTTAGCCTGATGGATACTGTGGCTAAAACTGAGTGCATTTCTCTTGCTTTTTTACTTGCCTCTTTGCACCACTAGCACTAACTTCATGTGTATTTTAAGGCCATGTACAACTGTTCAGTTCTAATAGCAGAAACTTTCCACTGCTGGAATTGGAAAAACTTGGGCTGCTCTAGGCTTCCTATTGCCAAGGGACTGGAGCAGCTGACCAAAACCCAACACTTGCTTCTCACACTGGGGACTCTGGTGTCAGAAGCAGGCATGGAGCTGCCCAGCAACTGAGCATTGTAATTCGAGTTAAAAGGAGGTGAGAGCAGCTCTCCCCTGTACCTTTTCCTGACAAAGATGACCCTATGCCTTCAGAGACCCAGAACCTTTCCCCTGGCTGTACTGCTTCTGGTCTCTAGAAGCTGAACTGAGGGAAAGTGTGCAGCTGTTCAGGAAACTCCCAGGAGCAATTTCTATGTCATTGTAATTGGGTTTTTTTTTCCCCAGAGAGGCTTTGTGTATTGGGAGGAAAAAGTTCAAATATCTGCACACACTTTGGTTCTGGTAGAAAATGAATGTCTGTATGTGACTTAAGTTGCTTAAAATGAAGAAAAATGGTCTTTTTGGATCCAACCCATGGAACTTGAGACAGCAGCCTGTAGTACCACAGCTGTGGGGATTTCATCTTGTGCCTTTTCCCTTACTCTAGGCCATATTTTCAGAGAAAATCGCTTATTGGGCTCTGCCAGGATGGAAAAATATGTAGCTTGGTTCTGTAGGTCTGAAAGGAGTGGCTTGTGAATAAATAGTCTTAGCATCCTTTTGCTTTGCGTTTCAGCTGACACTTGCAAGCTTTTGACCTGTTTTTAAGGCAAGAGAATGCAGGATATTGGGTGGGGGGAGCAACTTGGTGCCTGCCACTATTAAGCATATTTGTAGGGAAATTGACTTGCTCCTTTTTAGTGTCTTTCCACTTACTGGCTGTGTGCACACTGAGAAGCTAGCTTGTAAGAGCTTCTTACTTTGTGTCAACCTAATGTTTTATAGGTTACCCCACATACAAAGAAAAAGTGAAGAAGAGACCAGGTGGGAGGCCCGAGGTGATTTACAACTATGTCCAGAGGCCATTCATTCGCATGTCATGGGAAAAGGAGGAAGGAAAGAGTCGACATGTTGACTTTCAGTGTGTAAAAAGCAAATCTATTACAAATCTAGCAGCAGCTGCAGCAGATATTCCCCAGGACCAGCTTGTGGTAATGCACCCCACACCACAAGTGGATGAGCTAGATATTCTGCCTATTCATCCTCCACCCAACAACAACGATGTGGATCCTGAGGGGCAAAATCCAGGACTCTGATTCAGACTTACTCAAACAGAAGCATGCTACTTTAAGATGACTGTACTCAACTCATACTACACTGCAATTCCTGCTTTTCTTCATTGTGTAACAAAGTGTTTAGGATATTGCAGTATGGACTCTTTTAAAGACCAAAGGAGTATCTGATCGTAATTTTCAAGAGTACAACTCTAACATTCTGAGGTTCCAGTTACATACGTGTATTTGTTTACCAGTAGGCTTGTGACATTGGTTATTTGTATGCTGGACTCTCCTCGCTCTAGGCCCATCAAAACAATGGGATCTGGTGGGTAGTTTCAATAATATTGTTACGCAGTGGGTAAGAAGCAGAACTGATAGTAGCACTTTAAATGGTTGATAACTAGAATTCTCAAAGCCATTTTTTTATAAATGTTGCACAATGCTAACTTAAACAAAGTGCTTCTATCAAAGTCTGTCTATTCAGTTACACGTAAATAACTTGCTCTGAATAGATTGACCCTTTTAAATGTATTGCATATGGTCGAGCACAAAACAAGTCCTTCCCACAGGGGTTTTTGGATTGAGGGCAATTCAATTACCCATGTAACATCCTGGTCAAGTCCAATTTCTTCAGTGAATTTTTTTTCACTTGTTTGCAGCTTGAGCCATCTTCAGGGGTTGTGAACAACTGTTAGGGGCTTTATCTTAAATTTTGCCTTACCTTAATCTGTTCACAGAACTATTTATTTACTAAATTTTTCATAAGTGTTGTGGAATAAGAAAATGCAAATGGTTCGCTCTTCAGTTATTAAATGATTGTAATTGTAAACTCAAGGTTCATTCAAATAAAGTTTCCATTATTTTAACCGGCTTCTGATAAATTCAGGGGGGCATGAGCGATAAATGTATAGTACAGAATTTCCAGTGGCTCTTCCCTTATTGCTTTGAAGCAAGGAGGAAACATGGTAAGGACTGAAAGAACAGTGTATAGATTTCCTTTTCTCTTGGGATTTCAGGCACTGAATGGAACTTAAGAAAAAGCAACATGCTAAACTTTTTTTCCACTGAGTAAATTGATATATTTGCACATATGATGCATGAAACTAAGCTAACAAAATAACCTAGTGCAGCTACCAATTTAAGTGTGAGAGAGAGAGAGAAGGTTCAAAGCACTGAGGTAGTTTAAACCTTTATTGTGAATATGTTTTAATCCCCCCCCCCCCAAAAAAAAATGGTAGGCAATCAAATAGGTTCTAGCATGTTTTTTTAAGCAGGGTTTTATCA